TTGCTATCTTTACTTCCACCCTCCTTTCAAGGCCTTCCTGTGGCTCCCGATGGGCTCTCCAGCCTCAGCTCCAGCAGCAACTCCATGTTATAGTCCTGGGGCAGGGGCGGGGGGTGGGGAGCTCTGGCTCCTGGATGCAAGTGCTTCTCATTTGAAATAACTTCAACCTTAACCAAACTTTCAAGGCCCAATCCACAGGGGTCCCCTTTTCCAAAAGGTCAGAGAGGAGGCTCTCCCTCTCTGGACTCCCATAGGCCTCCTGGTTAATTTTTCTAATATATGTGGGAAAGGGAAGGATACCCATGGAGACTGGCTGCCTACCGCATATGTACTTAGCTCATTTTAATTCTCATAACTCTTTGATGGTAGGACTTGGTAGTCTCCTCTTACAGATGAGGAAGCGGAGGCTCAGATGGGTTAAATGAACTGTCCAGGGTTACCTAGCAAGTAGTTGTATACAAGGACACTGGTCAGTGTGACATTCGAAACTGTCTCTCTTCTGTAGGAATTTAGTTAGTTTGGCTCTGATATCTTCATGTAAGGGCAGGGAACCCAAAAGAGACCTGGGCTCCTCTCTAACCCCGCTTCTGCTGCACCCACCAGAGTCGGCTGGGCACCGTGGACGCACCCCCAGGCCGCTGTGGCCCCAGCCCCGCCTGACAGGATGAGCGGTTCAGATGCGGGGCTGGAGGAGGAGCCAGAGCTCAGCATCACCCTCACACTTCGGATGCTAATGCATGGAAAGGTGAGTGGGTGGGGGGCAAGGTGAGGCATGGCCAGCCAGCAGTTTGTTCTCCTGCGTTCTGTCTCTGCTAGAGCTCCTGTCCCGGCGGAGGGGCAGGGCCTGGGGCATTGGTGCTCCCTGACTCTACTCTTGTCTCATTTGCAGGAGGTTGGCAGCATAATTGGGAAGGTAGGTGCCCAGTTCTGTTCTGTGTAGACTTCAATCTGAGGCCTTAGGCCAGGTGTGGGGGCAGTGACCAGTCAGGCTAAGAGCCATTCTGTATTTTGTCTCCTACAGAAAGGAGAGACTGTAAAGCGAATCCGGGAGCAGGTGAGGATGGAGTTTGGGAGAGCTGCCCAGGGCACCTGGTTTGGAGGGGAGGGGAGATCCCTAGCTGCATTTTCCCTGAACCCCACTATTTGGGATGACCAGTGAATGCCCTTGGAAGGTAGCTGTTTCCAGCCTTGGCCGGGGCCTGGTGAGTGGGCAGGCAGACAGGTTCCTGGCAAGGAAGTGGAGAAGGAGACCTGCTGCCCGGCCTTTCTGTACCCGCAGAGCAGTGCCCGGATCACCATCTCTGAGGGTTCCTGCCCCGAGCGCATCACCACCATCACTGGGTCCACAGCAGCCGTCTTCCATGCAGTCTCCATGATCGCCTTCAAGCTGGATGAGGTCCGTGGGTGGCTGGGGTGGGAGGCCAGGGGTGGTTCCCTGGGGCAGGGGAACAGGGCTCCAACTCCACGCAGTGGCTGTAGGTGGCAAGAAAGGCTGAGCCCGGGGCAGGGTTCTTTCATTAGGGTGGGATTTGGGCAGGGCTTCCCTCCTTCAAACCCCAGCAGGAAGGTGCTCCGGGGGTGGGGCAAGCACAGCCAAACCACAGTCTTCCTACCCAGGACCTTTGTGCTGCTCCTGCAAATGGTGGAAATGTCTCCAGGCCTCCGGTGACCCTGCGCCTTGTCATCCCTGCAAGCCAGTGTGGCTCACTGATTGGGAAGGCTGGCACCAAGATCAAGGAGATTCGAGAGGTGAGGAGAAGGGGGATACCACCCTCGGGGAGTCCTACCCTCCACTTCAGAGAGTGGACCTGGGCTTATGGCTTCCTGTCCCCTGGGGAGCTCTAAGCCTGGGCAGCCCTAGCCTGGATTACGAGGGCAGCCAGAAGTGGCCCCTGTTCTCTGCTTGCAGACCACGGGTGCCCAGGTGCAGGTGGCGGGAGACCTGCTCCCCAACTCTACAGAGCGTGCTGTCACTGTGTCCGGGGTACCTGATGCCATCATCCTGTGTGTGCGCCAGATCTGTGCTGTTATCCTGGAGGTGCTGCCCTGGTGCAGGGAGAGGGGACGGGGATGGGCCCTGGTCCGTCTTGTCAGGCCACCAAGTCCTATGCATATGGCACTGGGTGGAGGCAGGGCAGGGCTGCAGGGATGGACTGGGAGCTCCAGGGTGTCGGGATGCATTTACCCTGGGGGTCATGGGAAGGGCCTTGAAAACATAGGCCCTTGGGGGATACAGGGGGGCCTGGAGGGTCCTGACAGAGCCTCCCCCATTTGTGCCTTCTAGTCCCCACCCAAAGGAGCTACTATCCCATATCATCCAAGCCTCTCCTTAGGTACCGTCCTTCTCTCTGCCAACCAGGTGAGGTGGAACAGTAAGAGGGGTGAGAAGCATTACTGGAGAAGGGACTTGAGATGGGGGAGGGATGGAAGAAGGACTTGGAGGTTGGGTGGGAGGAGGAGTGACTGGCCAAATTGGTCTGACTTGTCACAGTAACCCCCCTTCACCCACTTTGTCTCCCACAGGGCTTTTCTGTCCAGGGTCAGTATGGGGCTGTGACCCCAGCTGAGGTGAGTAACCATAGCCCAAGGGAGTCCTTCCCAAACCAGGCCTCCTCTGACTTCTGACCCTTCTTCTTTGGCACAGGTCACCAAGCTCCAGCAGCTCTCGGGCCACGCAGTCCCCTTTGCCTCACCCAGCATGGTGCCAGGTGAGCAGCCCTGCAGAAGGAGGCAAGGGCACACTCCAAGGGGCAGACAGCCCCCTTGGGATGTACATGGGGAGGCAGGAAAGGCCCAGAATCACATCTGATCCCTCTTCTCCTCCCTCCCAGGACTGGATCCTGGCACACAGACCAGCTCACAGGAGTTCTTGGTTCCCAACGATGTGAGCAGGGGATCGGGTAGTTTGAGGGTGGGCAGCAGGGGCCCAGGAGTCTGGGCCTGGCCTCGGGTTGAATTCTGTTGTCCCCCCAGCTGATTGGCTGCGTGATCGGGCGCCAGGGCAGCAAGATCAGTGAGATCCGGCAGATGTCAGGGGCACATATCAAGATCGGGAACCAAGCAGAGGGTGCTGGCGAGAGGCATGTGACCATCACTGGTTCCCCTGTCTCCATCGCCCTGGCCCAGTACCTCATCACTGCCTGGTGAGTGTGGGGAGGGGGTGTCCCAGGTCACGGGGCTTATGTGCCTGTGAAAAGCACACTTGGGGCGGGAAAGCTGATCTCCCTTCTCTGTCTCTGTCTGGGTGTGTCCTCTGCCTCCCCAACCCTGCCTTTCCCACTCCATGTTGCCCCATCTCCCCTCCACGTCTATTCCTTGTGTCTTCTTTTCCCATCCCTGTCTTTTTCCACTGGGTTTTGCCCTCCCTGCGTCTCCTCTCACCCCGTACCTTACCTGCTTATTCTTTCTTCCCGTTTCCCACTCTCCTGCCATTCCTGTTCTCTCGGGTTGAACATTGTTCTCGATTCCTCTCCATCTTTCATCTAATCTCCCCTATATTTGCCCTCATTGCCCCTCTCTCACCCCCACCTTCCCCTGCATCTCCCCCCATATCCCTCTCTCCAGTCTAGAAACGGCCAAGTCTACCTCTGGGGGGACGCCCGGCTCGGCCCCCACAGACCTGCCTGCCCCCTTCTCGCCGCCCCTGACGGCCCTGCCCACAGCTCCCCCAGGCCTGCTGGGTACACCCTATGCCATCTCCCTCTCCAACTTCATCGGCCTCAAGCCTGTGCCCTTCTTGGCTCTACCACCTGCCTCCCCAGGGCCGCCGCCGGGCTTGGCGGCCTACACTGCCAAGATGGCAGCAGCCAATGGGAGCAAGAAAGCTGAGCGGCAGAAATTCTCCCCCTACTGAGGCCGGCTGAGGCACAGGCGCAGGGGCAGGCAGGACCACCGGTAGGGGCTGCCTCTGCACCCTATCTGCCCAAGGAGACTCCACCCTGGGGTCCCAAACACCACTAATGCCCAGACGCATGGATGCACCCCCCACCCGGCCCCGGTTTGTGGGAGTAACTCCTCTTAGAGCGGGAGCAGTTTCTGGCCCAGGGTCTGGGGAACTGCAGCAGCTCCAGGGTAGGGGGCTCCACCCCCTCTAGCTCTATGCTTGGATGCAGGGAGCATCCTTAGTGCCCTCACTTCAAAGGGTCACTCATGCACTCCCCATCCCTTAGGGCTTCCCAGTCTCCTGCTCCTCTGTGGGGATCAGGGAGGAGGGCTGGGGGGTGGCTGGGGGCCATGCTTCTCTCCCCACCTCCCTGCAGATTCCTGCTGCTTCCACTGATACCCTTTTGACTGGAATGGACTGGCTGGGCTTGGCAGAGGGCAACCCAAAGAGGGGACCCTGCTGGGCAGCTGGGGGAGTGGTGTGGAGGCAGGGGCCGAGTTCTCAGCAGCAGACACTCTGTACAGTTTTTTCAATCCCTGTTTTTGAATAAATATTCTCAGAGACCAGGAAGCTGTGAAACATTGTGGGTGTTGGCAAAACCTCCAGAAAATGGGTGTCGACAAGGTCCCGGAGGACCCCATCTGTGAATCCACTGGTCCCCATTGGGCTTTGGCTCCTTCCACATGCCAGTTTTGGGGCTTCGGGCCCTTTGGGGTCATGTTGTTCAGCCTCCTGCCTCTGACCACACTGATCCAGTTGTTTTCTGGGCACTTTAGAAGCTGGTAGAGGAGTTCCAGTAGCTTGGTTCAGCCTCTCCTTGGTGTAGATGTCAGGGAAGTCCTTCTGAGTATCTCTCCACTGGTTCCTCCTGCTGTGGCTGTTACCTAGACCTTGCCCTGCTTCGTCCATCCCTTTGGCTGTAAACCCTTAGAGCCCACTTCTCTGTGATCCTGCCCACTTCCTCTCCTTCCTTGGCCTGGGGACTAGCCGTGAGTGTCCAAACCACCTAAGCTGGAGGAGCTCTTAGAGATGGTCCAGGATACAAATGGGAAAACAGGCCTAGGAAAGGGTAGGTCTGTATACAAAGCTATGCAGAGTCAGGCTCAGAACCCAGGATTCCTAGCTCCCAGAAGCCTCTTGGCCTCACCAGGCTGCAGGCCCTCTTTCTCCTGTTCCAGAGCCAGAAATCCAGGCAGGGCACCTGCCTGGAACTGTGCAGGAGTTTGGATGGGCCTCCTTCTGACACCACCATCTTTCTCCAGTGCCAGCTCAGCATAGGAGACAGATCTCCTCTCAGGTGGCCCCTGTCATGCTCAGGTTCTCCCCTTCTGGCAAATCTGGGGCTTGTTCTGGTGCCCCAGGAGGGCCTAGGGCAGGGCGCAATGAAGGTCCCTGGAGGTGCTGCAGAAATGTTGGCAGGTGCCAGGCCCGGAGAGTACAGGTCCGCGGGGGCTGGGGCAGAGCCCGGCGGGCAAGGCGGCCCAGTGCCCGGCGTACGGGGCGCTGTAGCAGGCCATACAGGAAGGGGTGAACCGCGAAGGCCGAGTAGGCCACCCAGGTGACGGGCGCCTCAGCCACTGCGGCTTGCTCAGCGGGCGCCAGGCACGCACAGCCATAGGGCAGCCAGCAGGCTGCGAACTGGCCCACGGCCAGGGCTGGGGCCAGGGCTGCTTTGCCCCCAGGCAGGCGAGGCCGGAGGGGTGGCAAGATGGAGAGGCGGCTATCCAGAGAGTCGGAGCGCGGCCGGGAGCCGCGCGCGGGTCGCGGGGGCCGCAGGGCCGCACGGCGGGCCACGAGGAAGATGCCGCCGTAGGCGCCGAGCAGCAGGAGGGCCGGTAGCGCGAAGGCCAGCAGCGCCCAGAGCGGCCGGAAGGGCCCGAGGCCACCGGCCAGGACGGAGCAGCGCGGTGGAGC